ATACATACATACAAACATACATACATAAATACATACATACATACATACATTCATACATACATATATGTATGTATGTACTTAAATGTGTCAAAAAATTTATCTAATCCCATTTTGGGACGCCTTAGAATATTTTCCTGTTATAATTATTTATATTCTCAAAATGTTCGCCCGATCTGACCAATTAGATTTAATAGTATAGATAATGCATGGGATTTTTGGTTCTTTCCTACCTCCTTGAAAATACCTAAACAAAAAAACTTTAGTGAGCTTAGATGTTTGCTCTATATACAATCATCTAATTTTATTCCAACTTAATTTTTCTAGTTTTTTATAAGGCTTTTATCGCTATGATTTATAGTTTGCTTTTTATAAAATCTACAATTTATTAGATAATAAACGCTAGTTTCTTTATAAAAAAAGAATAATAATAGTAATTTGCTTTAGATTCAGCAAACAGTTCGAAAATTAAGATTTGCTCCTGTTAATTACGGGGAATCTCAATCGGTATTGTTACGTCAATAATAACTAAAACGAAATTCGAATACCAGACCAGATGCAGCAATAATTAGTGAATAGTTATGTTGAGTTTTGGAAATAAAGCAACATGTATGTACGTATGGCTATATATAAGTAACTCTATTTGAGTTGAACGACATTATTTCGCTCGTATAAATCCATGTATAAATAATCACAATCTCTGTAATACCTCTGCCAATTACACATGTACTCGTGCTAGTACATTAATTAACATCATCAACTAATAATATAAATTTATTTACTTTCACAAGTTCTCAATGAATTGCCAAGCGATTGGTTTATTATTAAAACAGTGCAACAAAGAATGTGTTGGCGCTTCGCCTTCAAACATAATAATTGCACATAACCCAACAGACATAAGGAAAAATTCTCTTTAATTTTCAAGTTATAATGCCACACTGCTTTCAACTACTTAATTTTGTCAAGGGCTATTGCTTAATTTGTTCTTCGTAAAACTAAACCATTTTTCGATCGCCGTGAAGCACCTGAGAAATTTGTGGAAAAAATACGTACACTCTCTTGAACAACTGAGAATCTTGCTGGTTATAGCAGGCTTGTCCATTCCACGTCCCTCTTTGGAATTGGGCACTCCACAAATATCATTACACCGTATGTTGTATAAAAACTTTGCTCTTAAGGCTTATAAAGTTCAGTTAACACAAGAACTCAAGCTGGCCGATAATCAGCAACATCTTGTCTGTGCTGATCGGGTTCTTGAAATGCATGAAAATGACCCGCAATTTCAACACTTTGACTGATGAGGCCCATTTCCATCTCGATGGCTAAGTCAGCAAGCAAAACTGTCGCAGATGTGACTTGGAAAACCCAAGATTTATTTTTGAAAGGTCTCTCCATTCTTAAGGTGTAATTATTTGGTGTGGTTTTCGGCCCAGCGGGACCATTGGACCTTACTTTTTCGAAAATGAGGCTGGAGCAACAGTTACGGCGAATAAATTGCGCTATCGAGAAATGATTAATAATTTATGGCCGGAATTGGATGATAATGATCTGAACAACATTTAGATTCCGAGCCGTGTTATCTCTCGGAGAGCGATTTAACACACTGCGCCGTATTTAGGCCTTACTTTTTTGAAAATTAATGTATTGCGTTATCGATAGATGATTAATGATTTTTAATGGCTGGAATTGGTGAATACTGATCTGGATAACGTTTATTTTCACACAACGAAACGAAATCATTAAACTTCTAAGGGGAAAGTTCCTGTTTCGTGTTATCTCTCGCTGTTTAAGCGCGCATCATTAAGCTAAATTGTAAACGCCGTGCGCGCCAACTTCCGGTTTCCCATTCTTCCGTGTCTCCTTTCACGCGGCTATCCTTCTTTCCGTGTATACCCTACTTCGTTAGCCGAACTATCGTTTAAACAGCGGTAGTTCGAGCTAACAAAAAAGGGTATACTTAAACACAATCTTTCCAACCACCTACGCGCGCGCACGGCGTATTTTATCGCGGCATCTCCAGTGTTATAATTTGTGAAACCAATAATAATTATATAAACAGAAAAAATAATTAATTAACAAATAATAAGTAATTAAATAAAAAATAAATTACTTAAAGTGTTTGTGCACCAAAAACAAAAAATAAACATCTTTCCTTTTACTTTTCACGGCCTTAAAGCCAGCAACTTAAGGCGCGTAAATACTCGCAGACGTCATTGCAATTGGTCAGCGAGACCTTGTGATTTAAGACCTTGCTACTTTCACTTTTGAGGCTAACGTCGATTCAAGACCTCAAAGATAGAATTCGTGAAGCTATTGAGGTCATGCAGCAGTAGCTTTGCGTTGTTTTGATGGAAAATATTATAAAAATAATATGATCCTGTAAGCGTAGCTGATATTGTTTTCCATTATTAATGAGGGAGATTACATTGAAATAAACAGCCGATCATTTATCTCACAAAATGCCATTTTCCTTTGAATATCAAAATAACACCTCTCATTTAACAAGTTTAAGATATAATGCCCCTCACGGTTGATATCACACTACGAAATGTTTGCTGGGGGTATGAATGTGTTTGTGTATCCACATGCGCACGAGCGTTTGATGCCAACAAGATTGAGTCAATTAATCAGAAGTGGCACGGGCTGGTGCTAACAGCGTGACAGTAGCGGTACAAAAAGAAATCACGATGCGATTTTCTAAATGAAATGCTAATTTATGCCGATTGTTATTCACAGTGTGACAACGATTGAAACTATGTAGTTGTAATTGTGAAAATTTTAAGTCCCTTTTAGAAAGACATTAGTACATATGTACTAGTAGATACATACTGATATATAGGAGTTTAATGCATCACCCAAATATTATAGGATAGTGAATTTGCTTTTCTAAATGGTAGTTTCTTTTCTGTTGAACAAATTTATAATACGCGTACATATATTGTAAATAATTATTTCTTATATTCGTAAACTATGATAAATAAAAAAAAGGCTTGAATTTTCAATTTCTTTCAATAAAAGCAGATTTTTTTAATGCAACTGCATTATTTTAATATTTTTCAGTTTTCATTTCATTTGATTTCTATTTAACGTATTTAACGTGTTTTTAGTGTGCATGATGCACCCTTTATTATTACACAGAAATTACTGTTTATTTAATTTAATTGAATAAAAACTAATAATTATCTAATATGTCGACAAGTGATTAGCAATTTTAATTTAATGCTAACAAAACTCGATACCCATAATTATGAAAATGGTATTCATTCCTTAGATATTAATTACGTGTGAAATGCATTCATCCATAAATTTAAAATATAACTAACTTTTATTTATTTATTTTTTTTTTTAACAATAACTGAATAAATATTAATTATTATTCTCGTATATTCTGGAGCTGTGAATCTCATTAGCCTTTTGTACAGTGGAGGCTCTATTAAACTAACAGTTATGATAAATATTGTGCTTTAAAGTTTTTCTATTTGCTACTTAGCGAGCATAACTTTACCGTTCACTTTAAGCTCCTTTTATTGTGTTCATGCAGAAGAAACTTTGCACGATCTTTTAGATGTTGGGGTAACGTTCTTAATATATAATATATATAATTATTTTTCGCCGATGGACCTACAGTTTATACTAAGCCGCCTCCGAATGGCTGATGGTTTTTTTATAGGGAGCTTTATTTCATGTCAGAAATATACTCGGAGGGGTGGACATTCCTGCCAAGGTGCGCATTTAGAAAGTTTTGCTTAATTTTTTATTTAAATAAATTTTCTATAACATTTGGATGTTGGTCGCGCGAGGATTTGACTCCGAGCCTTCCGAACGGCAGTACGCAATATTAACCACTCAGCTACCGCGACCGCCGTTTTTAATACTTAATAATTTCACTCCCCTTTTTCCATTTAATTTATAGTAGCTGATTAGAAAATCTGCAGCTCTTTAGTGTAAGAGGCAAGTTTAAACGCGACCTTCTGCGATCGATCCCCGGTTCAAGGCAGAACGAACCGTCACTGGTTTTCGGTCAGTGGTGCGTCCCACGCGAATATAGCCGTATCAACAAAAGCCTGCTACTCGTTTCTACTTTTCGCCATTTGGCGCCAATTGAAGATACGAAGTGCCAACAAGTTCTTATCCATCTGTAGTGAAATTCAGTAGCTTTTGTCGATTCGCAAACTTGGAAATTTTGTCGCTTGACGATTATACGACTCGCTAACTTATTTTTAACGATACTCGAAATTGAGGAAAGGTGGCACCACAGTTTAACAAAACGTGAAAATTTTTCGGAAAGTACAAAGAAAAATGACAAAAACAAAATAAGTTCGTTATAGGTACCTTTTTTGTGATTCGCCCTGTAGAAGAGCTCCAAATAAAAAATGGTGACGCGCTCCAGGGTACTTAGCATTTACCGCTAAAACCTCACTACAATAACAATGGAATACAAATTTACAACACCATTTGCGTTTTAATAGAATAAAATTCATGGTGGTTGGCATAGGCTTCTTCATGATTTCCGGGTTCGTAACTGACGAAAGAGGTCCCCAATAGGGCTCTGAAGCTCAGTTGCATTCAGGTTTAAATGATGACTGATGTTTGCAACGAAATTTACATTTCTCTTTTTCGCTTCTTCCACCGGACGGTATTGCATTTTCATGCAATCGGACAACATGACCCAGCCAGCGAAGCCGTTGTCTCTGGACTCGCTGAACCATGCAAATGTCATTGTATACATCATACAAGACAATCTGGCAGAATTAGGTAGTGAATTTTTCTTCGTTAGTGCACTTTATTTTCAATAAATTATTCAAGCTCTAGACAGACGAAGTTATTTACGACTGTCAGTGGTGGTCTTACGATTTTGATGTTTTGCTGAGAGCAGCGCTTGTGAGTTATAAGCACTTGTAGACATCATCTTTTGGATAATTCTAGCCTCTCGATAATCTCCTAAATTAATACAAAAAATATAAGTGCTTAATTTCAGTTTGATTTTCTATATTCTATTTTAGCCGCTGCCCTCTATCACCAATGGACCTCCAGGGAATGCTGTAGGTGACAAGGAAAAAGCTCCGGCAAAACTTTTATACGCCATTAACGAAAATCCACCATGGTATTTAAGTATATTCCTAGCACTCCAGCATTATCTGACAATGATTGGCGCTATTGTATCTATACCATTCATCCTGACGCCCGCACTTTGTATGTCCGATGAGGATCCTGATCGTGGTGTCATAATATCAACAATGATATTTGTAACAGGAATCGTTACGATACTGCAGGCAACTTGGGGTGTGCGTTTACCCATTGTACAGGGTGGGACAATATCTTTTTTGGTACCCACATTAGCTATTCTCTCGCTACCGCAATGGAAATGTCCGGCAGTGGAAGCAATTGAGGCGTTGGAAGAAGATGAACGCAAGAATTTGTGGCAAACCCGTATGCGAGAGTTGTCAGGTGCAATTGCGGTTTCAGCATTAGTTCAGGTTGTATTAGGCTATACAGGACTTGTTGGAAAAATCCTGCGCTTCGTAACACCACTTACTATTGTGCCAACAGTTTCCCTGGTCGGACTAACATTGTTCGAACATGCCGCAGATACAGCATCTAAGCACTGGGGTATTGCAGTTGGGTAAGCTGGGCATATATTAATTTGAATAACTGTTTAAAAGTTACCCGTTTTTACATTGCAGCACTACAGCCATGTTGACATTGTTTTCGCAGATAATGGCTAACGTATCTGTGCCGTTTCCAGCTTATCGCAAGGGTCATGGCATCGAAATACGCAGCTTCCAGCTTTTTAGAATGTTCCCGGTGAGACAGACGCGCCTTTAGATTATTCTTTAACTGATTTTTCTCTGTATTCATATCTCTTATAGGTGCTCCTTACTATCGCTATAATGTGGGGTTTATGTGGAATTTTAACGGTGACAAACGTTTTCGAAGAAGGACATCCATCACGTACGGATGTACGTCTAAAGGTGTTGACCAATGCCAAATGGTTTTATGTTCCATATCCTTTCCAATTCGGTTTGCCATCAGTGACTTTATCTGGAGTATTGGGTATGTTGGCGGGAGTTTTGGCGTGTACCGTAGAGTCGCTCAGTTACTATCCAACGGTTTCGCAAATGGCTGGTTTGTATTGGTTATTTAATTAACATTTAGTCGACGCCTTAAAGAAGCGATGTTAACAATGCTTATTCCTTATTTTCTAGGGGCACAATCTCCTCCACTGCATGCTATTAATCGTGGTATTGGCACAGAGGGGCTTGGTACAGTACTAGCTGGTATTTGGGGAGCAGGTAATGGCACAAACACTTTTGGCGAAAATGTGGGAGCTATTGGTGTCACTAAGGTTTGAGATATAATTTCAAATAACTAACTATAGAGCATTAAGAAAATGTTTGTCCTTCCTTTTATGTAATAAATTATAGGTCGGCTCACGTCGTGTTATTCAGTGGGCCGCAATAATTATGATAATTCAAGGTGTAATTGGCAAATTTGGTGCTGTTTTTATAATGATACCAGATTCAGTGGTTGGTGGCATATTTTGCGTTATGTTCGGCATGATAATTGCCTTCGGACTTTCCACATTGCAATATGTAGACTTGCGATCGGCTCGAAATCTTTATATTATTGGTTTATCCATTTTCTTTCCTATGGTCTTATGTAAATGGATGCAAGAACATCCTGGAGCGATAAATACTGGAAATGAAACGGTTGATTCGACGCTATCAGTTCTGCTCGGCACAACTATTCTCGTAGGTGGCTTATTGGGCTGTTTCTTGGATAATATTATACCAGGTAAATATGCAGATGCGTTGGACATTAAAAATGTTGAAAACAATGAAAAAAATTATATTACTCATTATGTAGGCACTGCGGAAGAGCGTGGACTTGTTGATTGGGCAAATGAAATGCCACTCGGCGACGCAAATATCAATGATGGCACGGCCACAGACTATGATTTCCCATGGGGTATGGAGACTTTAAGGAAGTGCGTAAAGAGAATGGGTTTAAATAAATGCTTTATATTTAGTTGCCCATTTTTATTTATTTCAGGTGGAAATGGACATATTACATACCGTTCTTACCAACATACAAACTACAAAAAACAAGCTAAATTCTCAGATAGGCGTACTCTTACTGTATGTATGAGTTATAGCCACTTTTTTTTCATTAAACGTCTAATTGTATATTAAGGAAGTGTGAAATCGACAATTGCTTTGCCGGTGCGACCAATATAAATATAGAAAAATGTTTTATAATAATGAGAGATATATGTAAATAAGAATATTTGTGTTAAGAGTGCTCCAGTAGTTTAATTACTTTGAAAATAATTTTAGTTGTTGGTCTGGCCTGGACCCGTTACCTTAAGCGAAGTGTCTACTACTTCTTACATCGCAGAACGTACATTGTGAGCAAATTTGCTCGACCTCATTTAACAGTAAAAGACGATTGATGCATTTTTAGATTTTCCTTAATGTTTATTGTCAAAAATTGTTTGCTGATATACCAGTTTGCTACCAAGTACCGTCCATTATATTACTCAGAGAGAGAGAGAGTAGCATCAGCAATTTTGTGCACCCTAATAGACACCCTCAAATTATTGGATGCCGACTGAATGTTACTTAATTTAAGTACTCGATAGTGGTTATAATAAACTTAAGTCTAGCGTGTTTCCGGCAAGCATCCCAATCTGGCGCAGCTCTGTCCGAAACCTCTATAGCTGTTTATCGACGCTTGATCGATCTTAACTCAGAATAATGTTTTCCTGAGTCTTCAGTATGTAAAGTTAGACTATATTAACTGTATAACTATATACAATGTCAATAGTGTTGAAGCGAGCGTACATATGTATGGTCCATAATATGGGAAAAGAAAACTCCAAAGAAAAATCAAAAATAAAAAACCTCGCATGAGAGACCCACCTTTTGACGACAACCCGCACAAAAGTTCTAAGGATTAAAATTTGAGCGCAAGCACCTGGAATAACCAGTCCTTGAATTGGGACGGTGTCGCTGCTCAGCTGTCCCAAAAAGTTTAATGAACGGGACAAGTACGGAAGAAGGTGGGTCCTTGTGAAATATACTACAGCGGCCATATAAGGGGGCACAAATTTGGTGTCGGACTTGTGGTGGATGAACGTCTCGCCGCAATCCGCAACAAAGATATCGTTGATTTGCGCCAACGCCCCAACGGAAGAGAAGGCCAATGTGACCAAGGATGCCTTTCACGAGCGTCTCGAACATACTTATAACGCTGCCCCCACCACGATGTCGAAATTGTGCATGGCGACTTCAACGCTAGGGTGGACAAAAAAGGTATCTTCGGTGCAATTGTTGCAAAATTTAGGCTCCACGACGAAACATGCTCAAATGGGTTGAGATTGTTCGACTTTGGCGGGGATCGAAATATTTTTGTCTATAGCACTGGAAAATTCACTAGGCTACTTGGTTGTCTCTCACAACCAGATCGATCATGTTGAGATAGACAGAAGACATGTATCCAGGTTTTAGGTGTGCGTAAGTTCCGAGGTTCTATTATCGACTCTGATGATTATCTTCTTGCAGCGAAGATACCTACGCGCCTCTGTATCAAAGAACTTCCGCCAACAAACATAAGAAATTTTCCTCGAAAAGTTGCAATCACAACAGACTGCTTTCTGAGAGCACTCACCAGCAACTTAATATAAGGGAACTGTGGAACGTTATTTCAAACTCTCTACATACCGCCGCTACGGAAACAATTGGTTTTCGGCAGTGCCAGAATAGGCTGGTACGATGAGGAATGCCGAGCTGCAGTGCAGTGCAAACTGATTGTCTACCCCGCAAACGTGCTATCGCCCACTACACGTGCGAGGTGGGATAGATGCTGAGAACTGAAGAGGGGAGCAAGATGCATTTGCAGACAAAAAAAAAAGAAAGAGGCCGAAATGCGTGAGTTTGAGAAGCTGGCCGACAAGGGTAACGCTCGAAAGTTCTACAAATAGATACGGCCCCATACGGAAGGTTTCAAGACCGAAGAAAAATCTTGTAGGATCCAGAGTAGTGATCTAGTGAAGGGGATCCAGAGTATACTGAATTTATGGAGGGAACTCGTTCCCAGCCTGCTTAATTGCAATGAAATGAAACACCCGGATATGGGGAACCCGAGATCCCAATCCATGACGATGTCACAGACGTTCCACTACCTACCGGCTGAGTTATTCATACATGGCGATGAAGAGCTGGCAAGGTGTATGCATCAGCTTATTTGTAAAATAAGTATGGTCGGATGAAAGCATGCCTGACGATTGGAACCTCGGTGTATTCCTGTGTGATAAGCCTCTTTAACATCTCATTTTAGGTCCGATCAAGAGTATTGCGTGACCTGGTAAATCAACCATAATGTATAATATTCACCATGTCAAAATCTTGGAAAACAGCCGTGATTTTAAAGCAGCTTTCGACAGAACGAATAGAAGCTGTCTCCACGCCACTATGCCTGGAAATCCAACGCAGAATCACTCTTGCCAACAGGTGCTCCTTTGTACTGAGCAGACAATTGGAAAGTGAAGTCCTCTCTCGGCGAATGAAAACCAAACTCGACAAGTCGCTCATCATATCCGTCCGACGATATGGCGCAGAGGCGTGGACGATGTCAGCAACTGATCAGTCGGCTTTAGAGTCTTCGAGAGTAGTTTAGCGAATGATTTATGGTTCTATGTGCATTGGCAACGGCGAATACCGCTAATATTGATTCGGCTATAATCGCGTAGGCGGTACCAACACCAATAAAGAAGAAAAAGAGTGGTGGTCAGAAGTGGTCAGAAGTAGGGTTTATCATCCAATGCTGCTGTTGCTTTTTCATTGAAGAATTAATAGTTATTGCCCGCTAAAGAATAACAAAGTGGCGGAAACTGATGGTTTCTCGGCAGAGCTGTTCCAGCATGGCGGCAAAGAACTATGCCCGGACAAAAATATGCCTGACGATTGAAATCTGAGTGAGCTCTGCGAAATCAACAAAAAACAATCTGCACCAAGAGAGATTGAACTCCACCGTCAACAAACAGATTGAATTTTATATATGCCAGTCTTTGTTATCGATTAACGATATATGTATGTATGCATGAACCGCTATCTTATGATCTCAAACTTTGCAAATGTATCCATATGTATAGTGTATGTATAAATTAGTATTCATTTGTAGCTATATTCATCTCACTCTAGTTTTTGTGTAGTTCTGTGCTTTCGTAGATCATAAAATAATATCAAACTGCTGGAGAAAGCTTTTATAAAATTATTATAGTTGAAACTTTCAAAGCTTTGCGCATAAGTCTATATTTACGTGGTTGCGTTGCATTTCTTCACTTTTTGAAATCAATGTAAAAAAAAATTTTGAAAATGTTAAGAAGGAAAGAGGGAAAAAATACGGGAAAGTTTTCTTAGAACATCAACAATACGAAATTTAAAACTTTTGTAATACGCACCTTGGGCACCAATAAATGTCGCACTTACGAAAACTTGGTTGGGCTGAGCCAAGCCGACGCTGACATTTTCTCTTTACAAATTTCTATTGATGCAATTATTTTGAGCTAATTCAACATAATTTTTTGTTCTTTGAGTTGCAATTAGAACTTTGTGAATAATGGAAGCAAAAAGAGAGAAGGGCAAGAACTGCTTTACTCCTTCGGCGACACGCAAATTGTGATATTCTTTTTCTCATGAGAAACTGTTCGTATTGTAGGCCAGCTGAAACCCACAAAACGAACGCGTTTATGATACTAGTATTTCTGATATTCCAGTTGACAAAAACCCTATCAAAAGTATTACACCACCACATCCGTTATTAGTTGGGGAGCCATGTCTGCAAAAGGAAAGTTGGCCCTTCCCTTCTTTGACAAAAACGTAAAAATTAACGAAAAATATTATTTCGACGAAGTACTTATTAAGAACTTATTCCCCCGTATATCAAAGCAGTAATCCATATTGCTTTCAACAAGGATTGGCCCCTGCTCTTAAAGCAAGAACTGTTCAGCAGTGCCGCAAGAACAATTTTCCGTGCTCCATTTCGGCGGATGAATGGCCTCGTTTTTCTCCGGATCTCAGTTCTTTGGATTACGACAAATGTTAAAACTTGAAGCTAGATCAGTTTAAGAGCCGGCTACAAAAGATTTGCGAGAAATTCCACCAGAAGTTATGCGTAAACCATGCTGCCCCGATCTGGGCCGCGGGCACGAACGGGACGCAGATGAAGAGGCTACAGGCTTGTCAGAACACCGCCATCAGGACCGCGACACGAAACCTACTGATGTCGCCGGAGCATCATGAGCACAGTAAAGCATCTATGCTACGAGTTAAGAAACATAATTCTTTGTTGTGCAAGCAATGCCTATTGGGATGCTACCCAAGGGAACACCTAGCTACATCAGAAAGGGAGTACTCGACATTAAGCACACCATACAGCAATGCGTACAACAGCGTACAGACCGGCACTAATCGCCATTCACCAGGAGTCAGTCAACACCTCCAAAAAATCCCTTTCCGTAAATGGCGTGCTCGGAGAAAAACCACCGCCCATTGCAGACAGCGAGCTCGTGCTGCATTTGGAGACACCCGTGACCTTAGCACAACCTGCTGGATACTGTAGTAGGTTAAACTCCTACCTATCCAAACTCGACCCCAGCATATTCAACGTATGGCCATGTATGTGGAGAGCCTCCGCAAGACACTAACCATCTCTTCACATGCCCTCTTAAGCCGACTCATCTCATCCCCTCCCCAGCACATTTCCTGGACCTCCCACTAGATGACCTTGGCAATAATAGAGATTGATTAAACCTGTACCTAAGCGAGCTTAGCTAACCGCTACAACAACAACAAAAACAACGGTATAAACGTCAGGAGAAATGGTGGATTACGTGGCGCTATCATAAGATAGGTTTCATCAGCTGAGTCGCCAAGTTGTTGACGACCAGCACAACAGCTGCACTGAACCTTTGATGGCAAAAAAAGTATAGTTGTACTAAAAATATCGACTTGGTTTTATTTTTATATTATAAACACATTAATTACTATAAATATTCATAAGTTTTCTTAGTCTTAAAATAACTGATACTAATAAAAACAAGAAAGTAAAAATTCGGTGCCCTTTTCCTCAACGAATGAACGATAAGCCGGTAGATCATCTCTTTGGCTTTTACAAGAGTATGCTTCTGTCTTGAAACCTTCTGTGGTTGATTGGCAATCGAAACTGAATTAGCTCGCAATAAATTA